CCAATTAGCAGGCTTTCCCCTGGATGGTGTCAAGCTTCTTGATTGTTGTTCAAATTCTACTCATTTAGGCAAGTGAGGAGTATTCTATCACACTCCTGACTTGTGTGTTGTAAAAGGTGAACAGGCTTTTGGGAGTCAGGAAGGGTGGTTCTTCTTGCAGGATTCCAAGCCTGTTATAATCACTGTATTTGTATGATTAGTCTAGTTCAGTTTCTGGTCAACATTAACCCCCAGCATGTTGATAGTGGCGGATTCAGTAATGGCAAATCCATTGAGTGTGAATAGGTGATTCTGTTGGGGATGGTCATGCCTGGCACATGGGTGGCATAAATGTTACCTGGCACTTGTCTATCCAAGCCTGGATATTGTCCAGGTCTTGCTACACTTGAACATGGACTGCTTCAGTATCTGAGCAATCATGAATAGTGCTGAACATAGTGCAATCATCAGCAAACATCTCCACATCTGATCTTATGATTGAGGAAAGTCATTGATGAAGCAGCTGAAGATGGTTGGGCCTAGGACACTACCCTGAGGAACTCCTACACAGGTGTCTTGGAGCTGAGATGCCTAACCTCCAACAATCATAACTATCTTCCTTTGTGCTAAGTATAACTCCCACCAGTGGTAATTTTTCCACTGATTCCCATTGACTCTAGTTTAACCAGGGCTCATCAATGCCACACTCAGCCAAATGTGGGCTTGATGCTAAGGCAGTCACTCTCACCCTCCATCTGGAGTTTACCTCTTTTGTCAATATTTGAATCAAAGTTAAAGTGAGGTCAGGAACTGAGAGGCCCTGTTGAAATGCAAACTGAATATCAGCGAACAGGTCAGTGCTAAGTGCTAAGTTAGTACTGCTTGATAGCACTGTTGATGACCCCTTCTATTACTTTACTGATGATCAAGCACAGAGTGGTGGGATGGTAATTTGCCAAGTTGGATTTTTCCTGCTTTTTGAGTAGTGAACATAACTGGGCAATTTTCCCAATATTGTCTCTGTTTTGGAACAGCTTGGCTAGGGACTTGGCAAGTTTTGGAACACAAATTTTTGATGCTATTACTGCTATTAAAAAAAAAAGAGTTAAAATAAGTTAGAGGATAGTACAGCATTTAAGACACTCTGAAAAAGACTTGTAGTGCCTTCGTACCGTGAAGAAATATCTGCACATTATTTTGTTTTGAATATTGACTGTACATAGTCTAACATCGAATCATAAAGTCTTATAGCATGCATCACTGGACTAGGTATACCTTGAATGTTTAGCCATAATTTAATTGAGCCAAAGAGTGGATTGCAAATCCTGCAACATTGTGATGTTGGATTAGGAATCATTGTTTAATATACTTGGTCCTTCAATTTCTCCCTTTTGTATCAACCATACCTATCACCAGTAGATGGCTGTATTCAACTTTACAATTACTTTCTTGTGCAATACATTTGTTAACGTTGTCTACTTATTAAGGCTGAAATTGGTGTTCTTGACAACAGTAAGTCATTAAATTAATATTAGCAAATGGGACGAGTTGAGGACTGAACTCTGGAATTAAATAGTCGAAATTTCAGTACTTTTAATTACTCTTTAAATCCAGGTCATTGAAAAGTTAATTAGAGAATCTACATTATTTCATACCTCTAGAACAGGTGGGACCTAAACCCAGACATCCTGGTCTGAGCTGTGTAAACTCTGGATATTTCTTAATCAACCTGCTCATGCGTTACAACATACCTCTGGAGCAGGTGGATTTTGAACTCAGTCTTTCCTGATACAAAACAGAGCACAACCACTGCACCACAAGAGCCCTAAGTCTTTCTTTGGATATATTTTTTCAGATGATTGGACCAATTTACACCTAATGTCAGGGGCAGAATTCTGATTTACCCATCATAGATGGGATGGCCTGAAATTTGACATCAGAGCAATTGCCAGATTGCCTGCATCAATATTTTTCTAATCAGCCCGTCCAGAGATGTATGACACACCTCCAGGGCAAGTAGCATTTGAACCCAGATCTCCTGGCTCAGAGCTAGGGAAATTACTACTGCACCACAAGAGCCCAAAAGATAGGTGTCTGGATAATTGTAACGTTAAACTCTTTTCTCATTAATAGGTAGGTATTTTCAATCAACCTGTCCAGGCATGTTATGACACACTTCTGGAGCACTTGGGACTTGAACCCCATGCCTCCTAAATGGGAGGTTAGGACACTGTCACTGCACCAAAAGAGCCTTTTCTGCTTCTTCCTATGTGTTTAATCAATCAATTCCCTTTACCTGTGTATCCTTAACCTTGATAATATAATTAGCATCTTATTATAGTAGGTGGTAAAGGTCATGAGCTTGCAAGATTCTGTCAAAAGAGCTTTGGTAAGTTGCTGCACTTACAATTAGAATAGAATAGAATACCCTTTATTGTCACATGCATTCAAGTACGGAAGTACAGGTGTATAGTGAAAAGTTTACAGTGTCGCCCAAATGGCACCATCTTAGGTATAAAGTACATAGGTACAGATCTTAGATACAAAATAGAGAAATAAAGGGAAAAAGAAAGGAAAACTTATGGTTATTCATAGCAAAGTTGGAGAAATTATAAATAAAGTTAAAAAGATAAGCATTACAGTCTTTCTATAAAGGGCCTGCAATAGATCAGTGCAAGGGGCTTCTACTGAGTTTGCAAGCCACTGACTGTCGCACCGGTCCCCGATCCAACAATCGATCCCACTCCTCTCAAGCTTCCAGGCTGCTGGTTGTCCCCGCTCCACTCGAGCATCCAGTCCGCTGGCTGTTCCTGCTCCACCCAGGCCTCCAGCCCACTGGCCATCCCTGTATTGCTCGGGCCTCCAGCCCACTAGCCGTTCCTGCTCCACTCAGGCCTCCAGCCCACTGGCTATCCCTGTATTGCTCAGGCCTCCATCCCCCTGGCCGTCCCAGCATTGGTTGGAGTTCAAGGCTTAGCAGACCACAGTCATGCTGGAGAACCTTGATGACTGTAAAGAAAGGAGCTTCAAGTATGCTGAGGCACCTGAATCCAACTTCAACAACCAAATGGCTCGCTGTTTTGATAACCCTTGTGGATATGTGGCTTCTGGCTTCAAGGAGCTAACCACTCACTCTCTGTTCTCATGACAAAACCTATGGGAGCTGTGACTGACACAGAATGAAAGAATCATGGAAGCTTTCAGAATATCTCATATGGACATGTGAAAACCAGTTGTGGTCACATATGAGCTATACCAGTTTAATTAGTGAAATGAGTTTTGATTGATGAATACTTCAGGCTGATATGAGACTGATTTGATTGTCATGCATACAGTTAATAATCCCCTGCACATATAGGAATCAAGCCCCTCCAGTGCTTTTGTCACCCTATTAATCTCATAAGTGGACAAATCGACATACTAGGATAGTTTGGCAGCATCTGTGGAGAGAAGTCAGAGTTAATGTTTTGGGTCCAGTGACCCTTCTTCGGAGCTGATGGTAGCTAGGTTGGTATTTATGCAGAAGATGGGGTGAGGGGGAGAGGGGAGACAGTAAACTATAGGTGGAGATAGAGCTCAAAGAGAGAGAAAAACATTTGGCTATTTTTCTCTCCCTTTGATCTCTATGTCCACCAAGAGTTTACTACACCCCTCCCCCCACCCCATCTTCTGCATAAATACCAATCCTAGGTACCATCAGCTGTGAAGAAGGGTCACTGGACCCAAAATGTTAACTCTGATTTCTGTTTATAGATGTTGCCAGACCTGCTAGATTTTCCAGCAATTACTATTTTGGTTTTTGATTTCCAGCATCTGCAGTTCTTTCGGTTTTTTGAAAAATTAGTTAACAAAGAATTTGCATGGAATCAGCGTATTGTGAGTTCGTTGAGATGTCACCAAATCAGTGAAAGGAAACAGAGGCAACAAAATTCTGACCCATTATTGTTACACCTCCCTGGGTTACATGCTACACATCAAGTCCCAATATTCCTGAAGGTGTTAGAAAAGTTAAAGTTTTTATCAAACACACAAAATTCCCAATTTACCTATTTTTATAGACCCAGGATGACAGAAACTTGGGCCATGTTTCAGTACTTAGCAGGAATTACTATTTTTTGAAATAAATAGATTCTAGACAAAGGTAAACAATTATGAAGCATCAACATATGACTCTACCTGTTAAAACTGTAGCCCCTTTATAAAACTTTTCTACACACATGCGAATAGACTTACGCAGACAAAAAAAAGGTGATGAAATGCTTACAAATTTTGTATCATCGACAAGCTTGGAAATTGTCTTTTGCACAATTAGCTCTAGAACCTTCCAGTCCACAGAAAGAGATACTACCAACTCCAATGTGAGTAGGATTTAAACCTTCTGCTCACTCAATCAATTTTTTTTATATGGTAAACCCAGGTCATGGCATACTGCACTATATCCATATAATATATTTTCATATTAATTGTGAAATCTTCATCATTCTTGCTGTTTCTTCTACTGTGCTGCAGTAAATATCATTATGGACTTTATTTTGAACAAATTTTACTGATGGATGTCAGCATAATTAGTTTACTTGTTCTACTATAATGTAACATGTATGTGGCTGAGCTCCATATTTTCTCAGAACTGATTTTTGGAAAAGTGCCTCAAATAACACATTGCAAGTTACAACAATGCTAAAAGAAATGCCTTAGTGTACCACTGGCTCAGTGAATAACACTCTGGGCCTCAAGTCACAAGATTTGAGGACATTTGTGGTGCAGTGATAGTGTCTCTACATCCAGGCCAAATGCCATCCTGCTCCAGAGGAATCTGTTAACATGTTTGAATAGTTTAATTCAAAATAACTAGAAGAAAGCAGACACGGAAGGTCTCAAAAAGTATTGTTGAATTAGGCAGATATGTAAAAAGCTCTTAATATAGTTGTATGTTATGATATGATATCTATTTAAATGTGAATACATATGTACGATCAGTATAAAGTATAATGACTGAAAAACTTTATATTCTGTTTTTTTAGTGGTGCTACTTCAGTCGTGTATCAATGTAGACAAAAAGGAACTGGGAAGCCTTTTGCTGTGAAAGTGCTGAAGAAAACTGTGAGTTTTTACTTTGCTTAGACAAGAAATGCTATTATATCTTTTGTTAGTAGCACAAATAGTTTTGTTTGTAGGAAACAAGAGGGCAGATTTAATGGAAAACAGGAAGAAACTGGACAAGAAAAGGAAATGTCCTTTGTTGTAATTATTTTAAGTGACAAACTGTATTAATTTGTGGTATTCAATTATGGATAAAATGCCACATTGCTTTGTTCAAATTACAAATCTGTGCATGTATTTCATTTTAGCTGAATGTTCACAGTTCAATTTCTGATTACAGCAGCTTCCCCATCTTAATTGCCATAATGAAAGAGGATCCCCAGGCAGATAGTAGAAATTAATGATTAATTGAGAGTTCCACTGAATTAAACTTTAATGGAATAAAATATTACGAGGATAAATTCTATGATTTAACTTTTATTTGTCACGAATTATGAGTTATGACGTGGTTACTAATCTTCTGTGCTCTTCATACTCAGTTATTGGGAATTTGCTTTATGAAAGCTTCAGAAATAGATATTTCAGGGCTTATTTTCTTCTTAAAAACCATTGTCAGGTGAAGTGTACACTGAGATGATGAGCTTAACACTTGTGGCCTCCTTTTTCTGGATGCTGTTCATTTGAGCTTCCCAGGAAGCTTATGCTCTGGCCATTATTAAAATCAAAATGCTTAGGCTGATCATATTAAAGGACTTAAGAGAGGAAAGGAATATTGAAAAAATATGGTAGTTTTCAAGGGCAGAAGGATCAATATAGAAGATGGATAAAATCTTCCCAACCCCTGAATGATGTGGGCTATGACAAGAACTTTGGGAAAATCAGGTGAGATATCCAGTAAGAAACTTCCCAATATCGAGGTCAAAAAGTCCCATTTCTAGCTAGGTTTTGGGCAGCTTCTTGAGATTCTTGGCAATGAGCAACAGGAGGTCTATTAGCATGAATTGTTGTTCATTATCACCCTCATTACTATGTAATCTTACCTCATTAAAATGCAATTTCTGATTCACCTACCCGCTGCAAAAATCAAGGGGGCTGCTGCTAGTCAGAGGATCTCAATATAGTCAGTCAAGGGCAAGGTCCATGTTCAGTAAAGGGCTTGGGTATGGTCACTTGTCCACTTGGGATAGTCAGAGATAGGCACCCCATCTCATTACAGTACAGAGAATGGGACGTGGTCACTGCTGCGGATCCAGTGCAAGCAGTCAGCAAATTTGCGGTTCATCAGTTGGGGAACTGTACAGAGACTTGACAGGGGTCTGGTCAATAATCAGTTGGGTCTGTCATCCACATCAGCCAGGGAAAGGGCACAGTCAGTTCTGGAGATCAGCAGGATGTTATGATCTCAACTGATGTTATAACTAGACAAGTCAGATCCCAGACTGAAATCTGGCTTGACAGATCATTTTTAGTCTTTTTTTTTAATGAGATGGTCTCACTGAAATACAAGTACACCATGCTGCATATCAGGATTTAATGGTTAGACTGAAGTTTATTACACAAATAAGAAGAAATAAACGTAGAATGGACCAAGCTATTTACATATAAGACAGTTTGAAAGATTTTAAAACAAACAGTAAAAATACACTCCCATCTATTGCAACACTATCACTTCACAGCACTCAACACCGCAGAGTATTCCTTTTCAATCACATCTATAGGTTTGGCTTAACTGTTAATTTTATTTCCTGGTTTTGAGAGTTTTGGTAGCTTCTTCCTTACATAGTCACACATCTGAACTTAGACTCTCTCAGCTTCAAATATCTCTTTCAGGTTCTAACCAAATACATCTGGTCGAGAACTTTCACACTAAAACCCTTACACTGAGGTAATCTACTTCCTAACAATCCTAAACTATCACCTTTCTTCAAGGGAAACTGTTTTATATATCTAACTTCCACCAAGATCCCTGCGAACTGAAAGCAAAAGCCCCTAAGCCAAAAAAAAAAGATTCCTGATTCTTCTACTTGGGAGTAAGTTAATGCTGTTCACTATTTACTCTGTTTATTTGTGAAACTGTCCCAATGCAAAAAAATTCTCCTTATCAGCCCAAGGATTTTTTTATCTGCTATAAAAACCCACATGCCATCAGTTCAAAACTCAAACTCTAAAGTAAATAGTATCAAAATTTATATAAATCGACACGATACGTTTCGTCATCCCCAATAAAGAATGAAAATGTATCTTTGAGGTATTTTCATGATGCATCAAAACTATTCTTAACTCTACTCCTATGTCACATTAACAGTAGTAACACATTAACATACAAAGAATAGTAATTTGTAGAATCAGGAATAGTTCCTATAGGTTGTAGGTTTGCTAATGTAACCCCACTATTTAAAAAAGGAGGTAGAGAGAAAACGCAGGAATTATTGGCTGGTTAGCCTTCCCCATTGGTAGTGGAGAAAGTGCTGAGTCCATTATAAAAGTAAGCATACAGGTATAGCAGGTGGTGAAGAAGGCAAATGGTATGTCGGCTTTGATAGCAAGAGGATTCGAGTAGAGAATCGGAGATGTTTTGCAATTATACACAGCCTTGATGAGACCATCCTAGAGTATTGTGTGCTGTTTTGGTCTCCTTACCCGAGGAAGGATGTTCTGGCTATACAGGGAGTGCAACGAAGATTTCCCAGATTGAATATTGGAATGGCAGGACTGATGTACGAAAAGAGACGGGATCAGTTGGGACTTTATTCATTGGTGTTTAGAAGGATGAGGGGGGAACCTCATATAAATCTCTAAAATTCTAAAAAGACTAGACAGGGTAAACACAGGAAGAATGTTCCCAATGACCAAGGAATCCAGAACCAGGGGTCATAGTCTGACTGTAGAGGGTAAGTCATTTAGGACTGAGATGATGAAAAGTTTCCTCACCCAGACAGTGGTGAGGCTGTGGAATTATCCACCACAAAATGCAATTGAAAGCAAAACATTGAATATTTTCAAGAAGGATTAAGGGTACGGAAAGAAAGTGGAAACAGGGTATTGAGTTGGATGATCAGCGATGGTCATATTGATTGGCAGACCAGGCACAAAGGACTGAATAACCTACTGCTGTTCCCGCTGTTCCTGTTTTCTGTGTTTCAATGATGAGGAGTCAATGTCTCCCTCTTAACCACAGAGTATTTCGGTTGCCACTTAGCCAGTTTGCTTATAAGTCACAGTCCACTCAACGCCTGTTTCGTCTTCTAGTGATAAAATGGCATCCACACTGATGTCGCTGGCAGTAACAGAGAATTTGTATCATAGAATCCCTATAGTGTGGAAACAGGCCCTTCAGCCCAACAAGTCCACACTGACCCTCAGAGCATCCCACCAAGACCCATCCCCCTATAACCCACCTAATCTACACATCCCTGAACACTACGGGCAATTTAGCATGGCCAATCCACCTAGCCTGCACATATTTGGACTGTGGGAGGAAACCGGAGCAAACCCACACAGACACAGGGAGAATGTGCAAACTCCACACAGACAGTTGCCTGAGGGTGGAATCGAACGTGGGTCCCCAGCGCTGTGAGGCAGCACTGCTAACCAGTGAGTCACCGTGCCACTCAATTTGATTTTTATAATTTGGCATGGCAAAAATGGGTACTATTATCAGCACAGCTTTCACATTTTCAAAGGTCTTTCATATTCTGTTCAAACTTACTGCCTTTCTTTAACAAATTCTTTAAAGATACTGTGACTGCACTGAAGTTTACAATAAAATCCGCACATGTCGGCATAACGCAAAATTTCAGATTTTGTCGTAGGCACAAAAAATCCAAATTGCCCTTATTTTCAATTCTGTAGGTACTATTTGGCCTTGTCCCATTGTGTTGGTTCAAATGATTCACTTCTGCTTTGGCAAATTTACTTAGCCAGATTTATAACCAAACTGGCCAATCAGACAATTCATTCAAGTGATGTAAATGTTTCTGCTGGTTTGGTTGAAAGCAACAAGATTTTTGATGTAAACTGCATAGTTACAAAGTTCTTCAGTTAATTTATTGGTTAATCTTTGGAGCATTGATGGTGAATTTTTAATTCTAAATGGCATGACACTCCATTGATAAAGTTTATCCACTGATACAAAAGCCAATTTTTTGTATCTTTACTGGTCAGTGGAAGTTGCAAGGTTCCTTTTAGCAAGTTGAATTTACTGAAAATTGTGCATGTCCCAATCTGTTTAACGCCGTCCTCCAGTCTTGTAACAGGATCTGAGTCTGCTATATTACCACTTTGACTTTGCAAGAACTAATACAGAATTGTTTTGCCTCATTCAATTTCAGCGCTATTATGATAGGTGAGCCTCAGCTACAGTGACACAGTTCAACAATGTTATTGCCTGTCATGAACTTAATCTCTTCCCTCATTTGAGCTAATTTCTCTAATATGTGTTAAGTCTGAAAGGCTGGTGTTTTCCAGGTAACACACTCCCTACATTAACATCATGAACTGGTGAAACAGTTTTTCATAGCCAAAGTTCATTTATGATTTTACATTTACCTTTGTAAGTCTCTTTGATATTTTTCAGAAAACTAAAACATGATGCAACTGAACCTTTTCTATTATCCAATCTGATTACTGGAAAGTAGCTTTTGAATCTTCAATTTCTGATCTATTCTCTAGTTGTCCTGAAATTACTATTTCCTGCCCTACTTTTTTCACTTTGCTAAGTACACCTATTCCCTGTATGTCATCTCTGTCATAATAACTCTAATGTATTAACATAACATATTCACTAGTCAAAGGTAACCCCAGGATGTTGAGTGTGGAGGATTCGTAATAGTAATGCCATTGAATATCATCATAGAATCATCATCTTAGAATCCCTACAGTGTGGTATCAATGGAAGATGGTTAGATTCTCTCTTGATAGAAATGATCATTGCCTAGTTCTTGTGTGGGCTGAAAGTTAGTTCCTATTTATCAACCCAAACCTAAATGTTCTCCAGCTGTCTCGCTGCATATGGACATAAGCTTCTTTAGAGTCATAGAGATATACAGCACAGAAACAGA